TAACGTTGCAGGATACAAGATCGACCCACAAAAATCAGTTGGGTTCCTTTACAACAACAAGGAGTATTCTGAAAAAGAAATAAAGAAAACCATACCATTTATAATAGCCCCCCAGACAATAAAACACCTAGGAATTAGCCTAACCAGGGACATAGAAGACTTATGCAATGAAAATTATAAAACATTACTACAAGAGACTAAAGGAGACCTACATAAACGGAAATATATACCACCCTCATGAATTGGAACACTTAGTATAGTGAAAATGTCAATTGTACCTAAAGCAATCTACAGATACAATGCAATCCCGATACAAATCCCAGAAACTTTCTTTACCAGAAGAGAAAAACTAATGATTAACTTCATATGGAAAGAAACCCCGAACAGCCAAAACAATATTGAAGAAGAGCAAAGCAGGAGGCCTCATACTCCTCCATATCAAAACATACTATAACGCCCAGGGCTTAGAACCAGTTCTTCCCAGTTCAGTCACGGCCAACAAAGCGAAATCAGAATAGACCCAAATGTTTACAATTTGGGTGAACCGGAATGATAATCGGAAGGGGAAAAATTACGGGTCGAAGGCTTGCTAGAAGCCTAATCTCCCTCTTAGAAAACAAGGGCAGTGTACGCATTGCATAGCAACCAAATCTCTTGCCCATCAGATTTTAAGCAGTCAGAAACAGCGGTGCCTCGCTCAAAGATGGTGGCCAACTGTACCACTCTGAATGTGTGTAGCTCTCCAGAGTCCTGCCAATAATCCAATCTCAAGCATCAGGCTCCTGAAAGAGCTCACCAGGCCTCTTCCAAGTCTCCCATTCCAAGGCTTCAACCCGTAATCTTTTCCTGTTCTGGTTATCATTCCAGTTCACCCAAACTGTAAAAATTTAGGTCTGTTCCAGTTTCGATTCCTCAGCCATGACTGAACTGGGAAGAAGCAGTTTGAAGCCCTGGTACAGCCACTGTAATCAAAACACCCTTGTACTGGTTCAATGACAGACACACAGCCTAATGGAATAGAAC